TTCGTTGCACCCATTGTTATTGCTATCTGCTTAATAATATTTAATTCTACCTCAAAGATGGTTTTTGACATTCGAATGTTTGTTAATCTATGTATCATTCTATTGTAGGCTGGCAATTTGTTGTGAAGGATGGGATGCTAAATCGTATATATCAGTATGGATAGGTTTATAAAATATGGAAAACTCATGTTTGTTTTGAGTCTGATAATTTTTAAATCTAGAAAATTTATGGATTTATTCTGTTTTGTTTCTATTGTAAATTCAATATAAGTATGGAGTGAATTAATATACAATAATAATTAGTCAAGTTGCCAATTAGTTCTTTTAAAGCGTACCAGTATAATAATATCATCTACGTATCTCCACCAATATAAAAACTGTATAACACACCTATAGTTGACATTATTTAATCGAAAAATATTGAAAATAGGCATACCAGAAAAAAATGGTAAACAGTTATTATTCAAGATGTTAGACATATATAGACTAAAAAATTAATTTGTCATACGTCTATATACCTAAGCAGTTTGAAAAAAATCATATCTACATCAGTTACCAAGTCCTTTATTAAAGTCCTATAGCAAGCATCCCTACTAATTGACCAAAGTAAGCTCTTTTTTATTCTCACCTACTTTGCCTTGAAAATATAGGTATATACATAGATAAAATAAACTAAAAATTAAAAGTAAAAAGTTTACTGAAATTATTCTATCAATTCAAGTTCTTATAACTTCCACTACTATATCTTTCATTTCTCTATCGGCGGTTATAAACCATTTCTTCCGTGTTCCTTTTTTACATACCACAATGTATATACTTCCTTGGATAAGGATAAGGATATATGGTTTAGTAATCTTGGGTATTTTGATTATTTCTTTATTTAATCATTTTACTTCGTTAATTAATTTAAAAACAATTCACATGCTCCATAGTACCATTTTCTCCAAATGTACGATTTGGAGAATCAGTTGCTTTTATTTGCGCTGTATTGATTTGTGTGGAGCTAAATTTAGATATAAAATTTAAAGCTCACATTTTTCGGTGATTTTTTAGTGGATTTTTGACTGCTGAAAATAAACAATCGTTTGGTGTACTTTCCAAAATCCTAGACATCGTTTTAAAACGTTTTTTTACTACACGATTCATTTTTTTTAATACTTTTTGATGCCTGGTCATAGAAAAAACAACCATAAATACAGTACTTACCGCAAGATGTCAATTATTTTTTCGGTTTTGATCAGATGATCTATCTCTGTATTTAAAGCTATGTTTAATTTTTTGCATCCTTCTTCATGATAATATACATTATATCATTATGTCTGTATTAGATATAAGTATAGAATAGGATTTAGCAGTAAGTCAATATGTGTTGATATGACGAGCATATTTAGTTCTATTGGTATCATCACCAATATTGTTTTTAAATAAGGAGGTTACTAACTAAAATAAAATGTCTGTTATAAATCTACAATCCCAGAATAAGGTGGATCCTGGAAAAAGCGATCAACATTAGATAACTTCGAATAGATATAATTGGAATATAAAATTCACGAAGCGTTTATGTGCCATCAATAATGTTTAGCGATATTCTTTGATGTAAAAAAGGCTTTTTTATAAATTATGACGCTATGACATTTTAAAAACACTTTACAAGCGGATAAAAACACACAAAAAAATGTATACATCATAACATGTTTGCTTTTATTTCAAACTTTGATCAGCAATAATATTTCCAAGTTTCAAAACCTATGACCATTTGACTGAACCTTAACTACCGGGAAATGGAATTCCTCGGGGCTCTACTCAAGCAATTTTAATTGCTATTAAACCATGACTTATCGTACCGCAATGGTTCAATTAAAACTTTTCAGAACGCTGATAATCTGGTAATCTCAGCAAAAAAACATAGTAGCCATAGCCAATAATCGTATTGTTTCTAGCTCATTAAGTCGATAGAATTTTGGTCTAACCAGGACTAACAAAAATTGGATTTTATCACAACACCTTTCAGTTCTTTTTTATACAATGCTCTTATAAAATATACATTCCTAGGAATGCAAGTGGTTTTAAAATTAAGCTGTACAAGTCACATTCATTCACTAAGACTGTTGCGCTAAGTTGAATTAAACATGAAGAAATTTGTATAACATAACAGATTTTTCAACTCTATAAAATTTATACAGCGTCTAAATTGGATCAAAGCTGAACTACGGATGTGTTGTATACAACTCAGATAACCAAACACTGTACTGATATTTGATAATTGGTACATCTTGGATGTTGTCACATCTGGTTACTTGGTACATCTGTAATTGGTATTTTGTGCATCTTTATGTATATTGGATATTTGTTTTTATGCTTTTTGTATCTTGTTATGCTACTAACTATGGTAATAAGCTGGTTTAAGCAAAATAAATAAACACAATACAGAAAGTAGGTCAAACTTTACTCTTTCGAAAGTATTTTTGAATTTTACATTTGAATTCATTGTTTTGGCGTGTTTCTGGCATGCTTTGTTGAAAAGGAACAGTCATGTTAATGAGTTTGTGCAAAGCAAAGATCTGGCAGTCTATTTGGCTGTCCAGAACCAGATCTGTGAACGTTCTTAAACTCTTCTAGAGAGTTTGCTGAGTAATCAAGAAGATTACTAAGAATAAATTCATAGCAAGAAGAATGATCTACCATCTTAGTTAAAAACAAAAGAAAAAAATGCCTAATGAGCTGTGTGGCGATAAATATTTGACAGATGCTGATAATGGGTACTAAGTAGCCATGTTAAAGTTTATTGACTAAAATGAAAGCAGAAGAATTGGCAAACATCTATATACTGTTGATTTCAAAATTTAAGAATTTAAATGTTATATGTTATGTGTGATATATGTATCTATAAGTCTTATTGGGGAAAAGTTTAGACAAAAGAAGTAGAGGAAGATCCCAACTCATTAGACTGACAATCTCAAGAAAATGTCAAGAAATTGGATGAAAAGTGCTCAAGATAGAGTGCAATGGACAGAAATAAGGACGACCTATGTACAGCCAGTGTTTAACTCTATTATTATAAGTAAGGTTTTCAGTGTAAGTGTAAATGTATGTATTAATATGTGTAAATAAAATTTCTTAATAGCATAGGTGTATAATTTTAACTAACGCATTTAAAAAACAGCTTACAAAGACATTATAATAATATCTTATTGGTAAGGTAAGGGGCATCGGGGAAAGGGCGACAAATCGATCATTGCCTCCCCTCTCTCTATTTCACTTTCCCTAGTTCCGGCCCTGCTTTATTATCTCTCAATTTTTACTGGACGAAGTAGGACGAAATAATCTGTAAATCTGTACAGCTGCATTAACTGTGTGTTTTTGAAGGCACAGGGTAAACATTTCCTGCTTTTTCCAATAGACCTTTATGGAAGAAGATTTCTGTTTTAAAAATAAAAATATCAGCAAGTGTATCAATGCCTATAAAATGGGTAGCCTATAAATTGGAAAGAATATTATTTTTAAAACGATTTTAGAACGCAAAATATATATTTTTATAGCTTACAGTATCGAATATCCATTAGGTAATAATATAAATATTATGTTAAATCGATGTTTATGAATCATTTGATAACATTTTATATGTAAACCGCCCACTACATCAATCTGTAATTACATCACCAATGCATCAGGCGAAATTATGTCAAGTTCAACACATGAGATTAAATAATCCAACGAAAATAAAAAAAATATTATTTTTTTAAATATGCGGAACTCTGTCAGAAATTAAACGAAAGGATAAATAATTTTGTCCGTTAAAATATCCAATCAATCCATATTGTGAACTTCTTTGTATTAGAGATCCTCAGATATGAACAACATGATAATTTATTATTCGGGTATAACTGCTTCTAAGGATTTCTATGACATGAGAATTTCATACTATACTTGATTTGGAAATAGATGAGCACAGTTTTTATGCAACAAATGGAAAAATTAATTACGGAGTCAGCAGAATTAATCATAGGAAAAAGCAGGAAGAGAACAAGGAAATGATTTGATAGAGAATGTCAAGAAAAACTACACGACAGACAGATAAAGCGAAACATTATGCTTCAACAAGAAACAGCAGAAAGTAAAGAAAACTATGCCACTTTCACGCCGAGAAACAAGAAAATTAATTAGAGAGGAAAAAAGAAAGTACGAACAATAGAAATATGAAGAAATGAAAAGGAATAGGCAACAGTCGAGCACTTTACAAATCAGTGTCAAACGAAAAGAAAGGCTTCAGACCTAGATGCGCGTCTGTACTCTGAAAAAATGATGAATTAATAATAAATGAAAAAGAACTGGTCTAAACATAGCAACAATATTTCAAGACTTTACTAAACATACATCAAGAGGAAGAACATGAAAAATATATATTTTGGGGTGGACCTGCCGATAGAGGACCCCAAAATAGATGAAACATTCTAAATAATTAACAAATTGAAAAAACGGAAAAGCTCCAGGCTCTGACAATATACTGGCTGAATTCCTTAAGTACGGAGGAGAAACTCTACATGGACAAATACACAAACTAATGACACTTTATGAAACAAAGAGAAAGTACCAAGCAAAATGGCACGAAAGTGTCATAATCCCCATTTATAAAAAGGGAGACAAATCCAGATCCAGTAGATCCAGAGTACGGATAGGTAACAAACTCTCAGAATCTTTCGAAATAAGCAGTGGCCTGAAACAAGGAGATGCGCTGTCACCTCTCCTTTTTAATATCATCCTGGAGGAAAATAGTAAGAGCAGCACAACTTAAAACAGAATTACTGACAGTGAATGGACCAAAATTTCTACTAGCATACGCAGATGACATTGACATTGTGAAAAACATTCTCACCAATGTGAAGGAGACTTTTAATAAATTTGGAGATAGAGGCAAAGAAAACTGGTTTAAGAGTAAATGAAGAGAAACACAAATACATGTGCATCAACAGACAAAAGGGACGAGATAGAATAGGGCCAAATGTTACAATAGATCCATATAACTTTGAAAGAGTGAAGAGTTTTAAATATCTCGGAGCAACAATCACTGCAGATAACGATATCGCGGAAGAGATTAAAGAAAGAATTTAGGCAGCAAACAGATGTATGTACAGCCTCCACCATACCATTAAATCTAAAAGCCTAACACGAACATCAAAGATTAGAATATATAAAACGGTTATTAGACTGGTGCTCATGTATCGGTGTGAGACGTGGACCCTGACCAAAGAAACTCAAAGAAAACTTAGATGTTTTGAGAGGAAAATCCTCAGAAGAATCTTTGGGCCTTATCACGACATTAATCGCAACCAATACCGAATGAGAACAAATGCTGAGGTCAAGCAGATGTATAGAGCGAGCGACATAGTCCAAGAGATTAAATCCCAACGTCTAAGATGGGCTGGCCATGTCCATAAACTCCCTAATAACCGCCTTGCCAAGTTAATATGGAAGGAAGCTTCCACAGAAAGAAGGCCCTTAGGACGTCCACGAATGCGATGGAGAGACAATATATGGTCAGATCTAAGAACAATGGGGCTACCCACTGATCCAACTATTATGGACGACCGTTCAAGATGGAATCAAGTTGTGCAGTCAGCCAAGATCCACTCCGGGTTGTAGTGCTACGAGAAGAAGAAGACAGTTTTTTATGTCTTATAAAAAAATATAAATGAACAAGAATAGAAAATTGAAATGTACGGAAAAATAGAAGAAATTGCAAGATTCATTGAAAAATTCCAAATCCAGACAGCAGCTATACAAGAGATGAGATGGAGAAACGACGAAGAGAAACGAAAATATAGTGAGAGTTATTAGCGCGCGGTTACTTCTATTTTAACGTAGTTGCACGCGTGTGAGCTTCCCCTCACATACATCAACTCCACTTATTTCGAGGAAGAATGAATGTCAGCATGTACAAAATTACAATGGTTTATACTTGTATATGATAGAAAAGTATCATAAAGCAAAATATTTTTATTGATTTAATAAAACAAATTAATAAACTATTCTATATCAAAAGTTTAGAAATAACGAATAAGTAAATCAAATATAATTGGATAATTTTTCCTCATCTAGTTCCCAACACGACTTACACAAAGTTTTTGTGTGTTTTTTACAAATCCGCTGCCCACAATTTGGCTTGCAGCACTTTGTCTGAGTTTTCTAGTTTGTCCTCTTGGGGCAATAGGTATATTTATTAGATTCTCGTTCCATTTCTAGAGGCTCTGCTTTATCTCGAATTCGCAACTGGTCTCTTATTTGCATTCGTAACAGTACAGGGAGAGTTTTTATGTACATTCGTTACATTTGATTTTGCGTAATTAACTAAAAAGCCAGCTTTTTTAGAAATTTACGTCGCAAGCATTTTTATACCAGTAATTTCGTGACCAATAATATGACAGTTTATGCCACAAATATGCCACAAAAAAGGCTGAAGAAAATTGTAAGTGGCCATCTACAACTTATTTTTGAGACAAAATATAAAGATTTGAGTTTGTCGACCACATCTACATCAGATTTTGTTTGGCAGAGAAGGTATTACTGTTGTTCTTAAAGTTCACACTAATGTAGTTCGGCTTATTATAGAAGGGAAAATAGAACACAGACGCGGCCCGGGTAGACGACAAATGACCTGGCTGCGCAACATCAAAGATTGGACAGGATTAGACTTTCAAAGTTTAATAAGGAAAGCCCAAAATAGGGAAGACTTTGCAAAGGTCATCGCCAACCTTCGCTAAGAAGACGGAATCAAAAGAAGAAGAAGAATGTAGTTTGCATACTGTTTAGTAGGTGTACTGTCAGTGGGACTGAAGTAAAGAAATTGATGCATGTAAAATTACGACCTGTATTAGCAATATCTTTGCAAAAGTGCTGCCAAACTATTATTCTGCTAAAATGGGCCATTTGGCTGCTTACCTACATACAGCTCAAAGTTACAGGTATACCAGTTTTTAGGCAGTGAATAAATTTTAATGTTCTATTTTGTTGGGTTACTGAGGATACATTGCCTAAATGTACGCTTCGAGCATTTCATGAACTTTAACATACATTTCATAATTAGCCTTACATTTTTCCACAAAACAGTTAAACATTTCTCGTATGGGCGTTAGTTTGTCCGTTTTCCTATGCTCTGCTTTGTCAGTAAAATCATTAAATTAGAGTGCCCTTAGTAGAAGACGAAACCGATTTTTCCCTATCCTAATTCTGAATATTATTGGGCCATCTGCAACCCATAAGTTATCCATACTTACATCAGTTTTTCAGATCACACCGAAATAAAATTGGTCCAAAAAGGGCTTTAATTTCGTTCAAATTTGTGTCTTCAACAATGTTGGCGCAAGCCAAACACTCTAATTAAGAGCCATTCCCAGTATGGCTGGTAAACCTTAAAGTACCTCCATTTGACTTGTTTTGCTTTCTCTGCCAATAATTAATCTTTTGCGCTCCTTATCACACATGCCACCTTCTGAGCCCAAGCTTTTTAGCACTTCTCTACATTTTCACACGCATTCGTCAGCACGTTTACCATATCCCCTCGCTCCATAGAAAAAAAGGATCACTACTTCCTTGAAGTAGTTAATATTAATAGTAGTAGTATATACAGTGAACGGCTAATTAATTGTCATTATTTCGAGAACCGTCGAGTTTTGAGGGAAATCCCGAAACTGGTCGATTTTTGTTATAAAATACCCATTTTATAACGTACATGGAGTAGGAGTGGACGTCACCGGTGTGGGTGTAGTGACGTAATCGTTAATTTTTTATAAATGGAAATCGGTATAATGTTACACCTAATTTAAATGAGAATTTAATTATCTGTTTAACGACATTACATTTTTAACTAAAATATTTTTTTAAGGGAACAAAAACAATTTTTTTTTATTTAAGTTCAACTAAATTACAACTAATGATTTAATTCATAATATACTTTAAAGTAACCAAATTATGCATAACAATTATTTTAAATTAAATGTTCGAAATGCCATCCATTGGTTCCTGCCATGATTTTCTGAAGTAAATACTTAAAAAAGCAAAAAATAAGTAAAAAGAATAATGGACACAAAAAATTTATCTCATAAATATTGAAACTTCTTGTCAAATGTTAATTCAAGCATGCTATAGTGGCGTAGTTACTGTAATATTTATTGACGTAAATGTTTTGATTTTGTGAATTGTCATCAGTTGTCAATTGTAATTTTTTACTTTGGATTTTGGAATTTTTACTTAAACTATGGCTCACCTAAATGAAACACAACCATAGAAATATTAATCCTTAGCGGATAAAAAGCGTCCTAAAATTGAAGACAATGTGAAACTTGATTTTTAATAAATGTACATGGTAATCCTCACAGTAGTTCAACACAAATGGGTAAATATGCTGGAGTTTCCCAAACGATCGTTATTACGTATTCTAAAAAAAGAAAAATACCATCCCTACAAAATTTAACTACATCAGGAATTAAACGACGACGATCCCGATTACTTCAATTTTCCTAAATTATGCCGGATTTATGTATCCGCAATCTACATTTCATCAATCAAATCCTTTTTTCCAATGAAGCTACATTGTTTATACATGGTACCGTGAATTGTCAAAAATTGCAGATATTGGAGTCAAGAAATCCCACATTGGATGACTAAGTCACACACGCAATATCCTCAGAAAGTAAATGTATGGGCAGGGATCATTAATAACAGAATCATTCTCTTTTTTATTTGAAGAAAATCTAACAGGAGAACGTTATTTAACTTTTTTGAGAAATCAACTATACCTAGTGGAGCCCCTTCGCATTACGCACGTCAAGTACATCAATTTTTTAATCATTGCTTTCCCAGGAGGTGGATCGTAAGACGATGGTTTTTATAGAGTGGACAGCAAGGTCGTCAGATATAACATCTTTTAGACTTTTTCCTGTGGGGTTACATAAAATCAAAAGTTTATGTCAATAGACCCCAAAACTTACAGGACTTGAAAGATAGAATTAGGCATGAAATGAGTCTAATAACTCCAGAAGTCATCCGCAATGTACAAATGAATGTGTCTGTAGATTCGCATATTGTCAAGAAATCGATGGATGTCATTTCGAATATTTAATTTAAAATAATTATTACGCATCATTTTGTTACTTTAAAGTACATTAATAATTAAATCGTTAGTTGTAATTTGGTTTAATTTAAATTAAAAACAATTGTTTTTATACCCTTAAAAAAATATTTTAGTTTAAAAATGTAGTATCGTTAAATAGAGAATTAAATTCTCGTTTAAATGACGTGTCGCATGATACCGATTTCTTTAAAAAAAATTAACGATTACGTCACTACACCTACACCGGTGACGTCATCCCTACTCCATGTACTTTATAAGATGGGTATTTTATAACAAAAATATAAAGAAATATAAGACGGTAGAATAACGATGTTTAAATCCGAGTTAAAATTTAATTTTATAGGAGCGAAATTATACGTTTGTCCTTTTTTGCACTAAAAAAAGTTCAGTTTTTCCAAGTTAATGGATCAATAAACATCAAAGGCGTTTACTTTGATCTAACACTAAGAAGAATAAATAACGACTAAGCTCTAAGCTCTGATGGACGGCTTCTTGTATAAAATGAAATTTATTATTTTCCGCTACATATCTATTCTGTTACATATTATATCTCCTGATGTCTAAGGTAGTTCAACATATTGAAGGTTAAAATATACTTATAAACTTTTGCTATCGTAGATGTTATAGTAAACTCTAGACAGTTGGTAAAAAAGATTGAGAAGAATTTATTTAACACTAACCAAAAATAAAATTAATTTGGTAATGAGCAAACAGCACCAGATACCTACTTAATATTTAACTATTTTTAGTCTAGCGGTCACTATTCCATCACAAAACTAGTTTCATCTAGACAACAAAAAATAATTATGATCGGTATGCGGTAGAAATACCTTATGATCATTTTTCAGGTCATTTAACTTACTCAAACCGCATCTGCCGACGTTTTTGAGACGCATCAAACCGAATATCGAAGATTTATCATTCCGCAATCAAAATTATACTCAGTGATGTCACTGAATTATTTACGTACTGGAAGTGTTGTACCTACTTATTTACTCTCTCTCTTCGTTGAAAGATACCGATTCATTGTCTGTCAGTTGCGTTAAATATCTTGGTAATTATAAATCTGGAATTAGGTCAATATTTTCATCTTGATTGCCAACAATTTTCATACGGACTTGCTCGATGACGTTATTAATTTTATGTGTATGGAATCTGCTGCGTTATGTAATTTATTTGCTTTTTAATACGAGATTACTGTGATTCACTTTAGTATACAGATTTGAACTAAAATGAACCTCCAACCGATGCTGAACCTGTAAAAAATCCAGTATAGGTGAAATTGGGCTTTATATTTATATGTAAAAAATCAACCTGTCATTTTCACAGATAATAGACAGTTTTCAGGGGTTTATCTTAGGAGTAGTAGAAGAAAATAGTCTACTAAGACATAAAAGTAACATGGTTATAAGCAAAAATGGAATCATTCAATGAGAAGGCAATTATAGCATCCAACAAAATAAAATCCAGTTACTGTACGCAAAAAAATACCTCTAAGAATAATTAAAACGAT